AAAAAAAAAAAAAAAAAAAAAAGAATATAATTTTCTCTGGGGCGGGGGGCAGGACACATTTTTGTGTTTTTTGGTATTTCTTCAGCACTCGGAATGATGCGGAGTGCACAATGGGACTGAGCGGATGCTGCAAGGATGATGGGAGGGTCACAGGTTTGTGTTCCTGCACAACACTTGAGCTGGCTGGGAGGCACCAGGGCCCTGTCCTTCCATTTGACTCTATTTTGGATGTTGGAGATCACGAGCATGCTTAGCCAAGGAGGAGGTCTCTGGGATGGTGACCACCATTACTAACCTAAAAGGAGCCTCTAATGTTAGATTTAATTTGAAAGCATGTGCTGTGTGACCTTTTGAACCATTTGATTTGAAATTCCATGTCTCTCTCTGCCCCATCAGTTGTGGCATTTTGGCCTATATCTGGGTCAGTGGGAAAGAGAGAAGGCACCTGATTCTATAATATAATGCTAGCTAAGAGAACATACTGGAAAGATTGGCCAGCATGCTGGCAGCTTTCTGAAAGAAAAAATGGAGGAAAGATGATCCTCTTTCTCCTGGCTTTGGGGAGGAAGGATGGTCTGTAGATCACTGTGCTGGCTCTGTGGTTGACCCCTGAAGGAGAGGAGGAGAGATTTGCACACGTGCCAAACCCCTTGAAGGTAAAGCTTCTGAAGATCATTGTGATGATGGGGGAAGGACAATGAATTTGGGGTTTAGCTCAGAGATGGGCTAACTGCATGTCCCAACAGTGGTGGAGCTATGGGTGCCAGGTCTCTTGACTTGTCACCATGTAGGTGTATGTCTCACAGTCAGCATGCGCAATCTCAAAATACGGTGACATCATAAGGAGTCGCTCACGTTTACATCTGTGAATACAGTGGAACATTATAGTTTCGCTACTTAAAAACAATCCCGCCAACTATCGATTATTGTGTAATAGATTAATTTGTCCTCTTTCCTGTTGAGATTTGAAGAGAAAAAAGTAGATTAATTTGAGCCAGTATTCAAATTCAAGTATGTAAGCATACCAGCAATATTCTTTTTTTTTTTTTTTGATGCAGAGCCTCAAGCTATCCCCCCTGGGTAGAGTGCCATGGCATCACAGCTCACAGCAACTTCCAACTCCTGGGCTTAAGCGAGTCTCCTGCCTCAGCCTCCCAAGTAGCTGG